AAACTTGTATTGAAACTTGTAACAGGATATATAAGGGTAATTGTGTAAACAAAAAGATTAAATCAAAGTATAGTCTCACATCGTAATACGTTTGTGAAAGGCGGTATTTTTTTACAAATTAAGAGATGAGAAGAAATAGTTATTCAAATTTACATAAATATGTCGTTATGCTGGTTAGATGTATAATTCAGTTCGAATTATATTGAATATATTAATAAATTAAAGATTTATTCAATTTATTGCAAAGAAGCTTGAAAAAGAGAAGAAAAGGGACCACTATTGATTTGACGCGGCGCGATTTGTAATTTCAACTTAACCTAACAATGCGTATATCTTAAAATTCAGTCTTATTAACACACTTACAATATGTGTGCTTAAATTATTCTTTTTCAAACATTCAACCAAATTCAATCTAAAGTTTTTAATTTGCAATCACGTTTTAGGGTTCGCTTCAAGTAACATGGCTGAGATACTGCTTATGAAACGAAGGTTCGAACCTTGACCAACACAGGACATTGTACGAATTGATTTAATGCTACTTTTAAAGAGCTAAAATTACATTAGAAGCTGATCAGAATAGGTCGATTATGGTGAGTTGCATGTTTTATTAGTCCATCAAGTATATGTTGTAACAAAGTCGGCGTACAACAGCCACGTATGCAAAGCAGCCACCTATTATACATTTGTTTATAACTCACTTAACTGTGTGTTATTTGTTGATCAAACTTCCGACAAGAAGTTTGGCTTGTATCATGTAAACTAGTCTCCATCCAACTTAAGGAAGGTCTGAGGTTCTATTCAAAAGCGTACACGTGCTTAAAATGAAAATGGAACACCTCATGCTGTCACACACAAGTAAAGCTGACAAAAACGATGTTCCAGATGTTTCTTAGCACAAATCCTATCTTTTGCTGTTCTTCTACTGCTGTGCGTGCGTGCGTTTTTGCGTGCGTGCCTGTGTGTATTTCTGTTGTGTGTTTTTTTTCTGACAATTATTTCTGATTAATATTTTTTGATATGGTTTAGATAATTAGAAATATAATTATAGACATGTTATAGTAAAATTTTCTACTATATAATAATTATGATAAGCTTCGTACAAAATTTTGCGGGGAACTTAAAAATCTCGATATTTTATAATATATGTTGAAAACAGCAAGGAACATTTTGACTTCAGTGGCCAGTAGTATGGTGGCATATTTCTGCCACCAGATAACATGATAACTAACTAGTTAATTAAGAGGTTAACTAGTTACGTAACTAGTTAGCCTTTTAATTAACTAGTTAGTTATCAGGTTAACTAGTTACGTAACTAGTTAACCTCTTAATAAACAAGTAAGATTTCAGATTAACTTGTTACGTAACAAGTTAACCTCTTAATTAACTAGTTAGTTATCAGGTAATCTGGTGGCAGAAATATGCCACCATACAGTAGCGTCCATGGTTTGATTTTATATTTTATCCTTCATTTGTCTATTAAAAAAAAAGTCGAGGAACAGACAGAATTCTCGGACATTTTTTGCAAGTGTTGTAGAAATTCTACAAAAGGTTTTGTGGCAAAATTATAGGCTGCGACTTTTTACTCCTTAACAACGGACTAATGAAATATTGCGGCGTGTACCGCGACTGTTTGTCAGGGACATATCCCGAATAAAAAGTCGATGCTTTATGCTCAAACTCAACTTTTTATGGTATGTATCAAAACAAAACATCGCGGGTTATAACGGCCGCAATCGGTCTCCTAAAGTAGGCATATGTTTGCATGGCTTATCGCGGTTTCCTTCGTAATATTCGATGTTTTTCGACTTGTTTTTCTCTAAGCCGCGATATTTTATACACTTTTGACATAACATCTTGCAGATTTAAAAGTTGCCCGTAACATTTTAAAAACTGACGGTAAAATTTCCCGCGGCTTTAAAATGGACGTTCTAGCCACCACATAAATGTCGACTTTCATACTTTACATACGGAGGAAGACCTCAGTAGCCTCTTCGTGCATTATTTCAGGAAAGATCAAGAACCCGAAAAGTTACACTGATTTTTCGTAAAGTTAGCTGGGTAGTTTTATCAGATGAAAACAAATCCAAATTCGCTGACGGGATTCGAGCCAACAACGGAGACGGGCTAGTGAGTATATTGCCAACTACCTTAGAACGCCACCATTTCGTTATTTTGAAAGCAAAGTGAAAATGTTTAATAAATATCATTATTACATGTACGATAAAAAAGTTGGCCTATGTGGCAAGCCAGCGTAAAAGGTCTGCACAAACTGCTGTTTGATAGAAAACGATTATTTGGCCATTTAAAATGTTCTTTTGTGGTACACTGTATTAAATACTATCTGTAACTTGTTATGGTAAATGTTAAAAAATGAACGTAAACAAAGAGGAGCGATGGCCTAGTCATTGCGGTGTCTACCCCTTCACCTTGAGATCGTGACTTCAAGCCTTAATTATCCACGAACACATTTCCTCACATGTCAACTGCATTTGGCAGCACCATGAGTAACCAGTTATGCATGCTTTATATTAATTCAACGCGTACACAATTCCTTCTTTCTACAGACTTCAGTGCGCGTCGTCTCACAATATCTATGGCGTGCAGGACGGAAGTTTCCAAATTCACGTATTTAACAAAAACGTTTTAACAAAATCAATGTAATACATTACATTGATATGATGGACAGCTCTTCTTAATGTCCGCTTGCACTTATCCTATTTCATGATGTTATGCGGTACATTGTGATTTATTTTGAATCTATATCACGTGTTGTTTATTTGCAATAACTTTACTTATCTTATACACAAATATTGATTTTAGTAGAATATTTGTTTTTACGTTTTAATATATAAAGATCGACATTCACAATTCATTTGTAATTTATAATATAAAAAATAAACGTTTGATAGTCACGCAGTTTCGCAATTAAACGCATAAAGGGGTTGCAAGCTTTCATTACTTGTCTACCTAAAATAGATATGCCTAAACTTATAACAATAGCAAAGATCGATCAATGTAACTCTATGCCCTCGACATCTGCAAAGGTAGTTTCCAAGTATCATATAGAAATCAATTAGACATAATTAAACGTTTATTAGAACGAGTGCTTAACAAATATGTGTTTAGACCCTTGTTGATTTTTGTACTTATATTTTACTCAACTGAAACAATCCTCAGTTAATCAATTAGATTTTTAACGATTTATATTATTAAAGTTATAATTATATGATCACAAAACCATTTTTCTTCATCTTGTACAAATGCACTAAGAGAATTACAAAAAAAAGCAAGCAAATCTTTTTTTTTATTATTTTTCTTATTATTTTATTCTATTTTTTTAAACATTCATTGAAATTTACAACAAACATTATTTCAAAATGAGAAAAAATACGAATCTTGCGAGTTTCTTTACACTATAAGGTGTGCAAAGGTGCGATTCTCGTATCTTAATGTACATATTATACGAGCATGTATGCAAACTTGTATTAAAACTTGTAACAGGATATATACAGGTAATTGTGTAAACAAAAAGATTAAATCAAAGTATAGTCTTACATCGTAATACGTTTGTGAAAGGCGGTATTTTTTTACAAGTTAAGAGATGAGAACAAATAGTTATTAAAATTTACATAAATATGTCGTTATGCTGGTTAGACGGGGTTTTTCTTTTTACAAATCAACTCGAATTATATTGAATATATTAATAAATTACAGATTTATTCTTTCAAAGAGGCTTGACAAAGAGAAGAAAAGGACCACTATTGATTTGACGCGGTGCGATTTGTAATTTCAACTTAACCTAACAATGCGTATATCTTAAAATTTAGTCTTGTAAATATTTGTGCCTAAATTATTCTTTTTTTCCCAACATTAAACCAAAGTCAATCTAAGTATTAAATTTACAATCACTTTTGAGAGTTCGCTTCAAGCAGCATGGCTGAGATACCGCTTACGAAACGAAGGTTCGAATCTTGACCGACATAGGGCATAGCACGAATTGATTTGATACTAGTTTTAATTAGCTATTTATTACATTAGAAGGTTACTAGAATATGTTGGCAATTTCTCTTGATTGCAGTGTTTCAATATGATGTGCATGATTTATCAGTCCATCAAGTATATACTGTAAGAAAGTCGGTGTACAACAGCCATCTTTAAGACATTCGCCAATTACTGTGTATTATTTATTGATCAAAATCCCGAAGAGAAGTTTTGTTTGTATTATGACTACTCTCCATCCAGCTTAAGGAAGATTCGAGGTTCTATTCACGTACATATACGTGGTAGGGTCAAAATGTTCCTTGCTGTTTCCAACCACAAGCACGAGTATCGGACCTTGATAAAAAAACCTTTGTGTTAATCTTGAATGTGTAAAAAATTTCTTTTAAAAATATACTGTTAGTTAAGAGAATGCCGGAACTCCAGATTCGAGTCTACGAGCAAGGAGTTCATTTCCCGGGATGTTGTGAAATCAATTGACCAGACAATTAAAAAACAATTTTTATCACTATTTTACGTTTGCATTAAGCTTCCAAATGAGACCGACCCCAAGTCTCTAGCCCTTCCGTTCATGAAATATCTATCAGGAAACGAGCGCATTCGTGCTTAAACTCTCAGGTAGACAAAACAATGGCACAACAATTCGGCACGTAAATATAGACTAATGCATGTTTGTTTGTCAAATAGGGGTCAAAATCACTTGAATTTACTCAATAATATTTCTAAAAACATCAAATGCATTGGGCCACTCACAACCGTCAGTAGCATCTGATACAAGCGAAATTCGAGTTTCAAACCTTTTCACGGTCTTTCGAATTAGGCAGTTTCGTTGCAGTTTCGCTTGCTTTTGGCCAATCAGACGACTCCTTACAAAATATCGAACAGCTGATTTATTATGTCGTAGAAAGGAACTGTTATGAAATATCGAGATTATACGTTCCACCTCGCACGATTCTCTTGCAGAATGAACAAATCAATACTAAGAACAAATGCAAATATATAATTCATTTAATATGCATTTAACACTACTAGTAGTCATTTAAAATTGTGTGCCTAGGATGACCTAATTCATATGCTATTGTAAGAAATAATTACATTAATATGTACAATCTGGTATGTTATATCTCTAAGTGGTAAGGGATAAGTTAATTCTGAATCCTGTAGCCTCATCGTTGTCGTCACTTTGAAACTGAATTATCGTAGAATCAGATCTAAATATTCCAGCCGGTCTGTTTCTTGCATCAAACCTGAGGTAGTTTCCTTCATTTAGAATGTCAACATAATCACCATGGTTTAAATCAAAGTGTTCAAATTCAAGAGCGAGCTTCAAACCGGAAGTAGGGAAAACGTTCCATTTACAGATGGTACCCGGTTCGTAATTTCTAGGAAAGTGCGGGCTGTTAAGGTGTTGCTGTCCTCCAGAAACCGTTATATTTCTTGAACATTCTGTAAGAAAGGTTAATGATTAAGAATACCACCAACATACCGCTCTAATTCGTAATTTCTTTCATTATCTCTTTATATCAAATAATGACAAATATAGATGTTACTTTAAGAAATCTTTTAACAACAAACATTTAAAAGCATATTATATATTGTCTATAGAAATACAATTAGATCTACTCATTGTTTAGCTTAATAGCGTAGTGGTAGAGTATTTATTTCGTCAGTTTTTAGACCCTTGCTCTTATCCTGGAAAAGGCATTTTTTATGCCATTATATTTTCTGCTTTTAGATTTTTTTCAACTGACTGGATTTTAATCCCTCACGAATTCCACAAGGCATTCAACAGAGTTTAAAAAAGTCGATAATTGGTGTAATAAATGATTGAATAAATAGAAATGGAAGAAGATGTTTAAAATGTGGCGAATAGTAAAATAAAATAAAATAAAATGAATAACACTATTAAAACTGTTCAATGACTGTTCAGAAATTAATATAATTTTAAACTTCAATTGTGAAAAAACATTAAAGATATAATTTGCTCAACCTTAAATAAAAAAATTTTCATCACATATATTTAATGAAATCTATAAAATTCTTACTGAATATGTCTGATTTAAATAAAAGAATACATCAACTATGTATGGAAAGCTACGTTCCATATAACAGGTCAAGTAAAGTTGTCTTAAAAAACAGTTTTTAATGACACTGTACCGATATTCACACTGTGACCACCTCTAGTGTGTAGAGATTAAAGACGATATCTTTAATGCCTGCGTCACATTACACTCCGATTAGGTTTACGATGAGGTACCGATGTCTGAACGGGCTGAAATTGCACATTTTTTAAAGGTCTCCGTCCGGTAACCCTCCAGTGTCAAGTGACCGGTGGTGCACCGTACAGGTAATCGGAGAATTTTAATGCAGAGTTATTTTCTTCCGGCATCCGGTACATCGCCAGCTCACCGTAGTAGACACGGTGAAACGCCCTCCGATACCAGGCCGGACACCTTTTGTTATCGGTTACATACCGGTTTAAATTTTCACCTCCTGGGCGCCAAATATTCCTCCAGTTTCCGAGCGATATATGAACGGTGTCCGTAGGCTTCTCGACAGGTAACTGACCAGGGCCCGGATGGACGCAGTACGTTGCACGTATGGTCCTAAGGTGTCCGTAAGGATAGCGTTAGGGTTATTAAACAGACCTTACGGCAGGTAAAGCTTTGGACTCTGAATTAGGCGACCCGTGTTCAATTCTTGGACAACGGTGAAGGTCATTTTAGTTGTACAGAGATAATCAGTACCTTGCAAAAGTGGAATACATTATTACTGTTTAACTGCTTGACAGACTGTCCAGGAACAATACGGTGGCTGAACTGTGCTCTAGTATGTATATTCAAGTTGCCTTACTGCCATAGTCATCAGAGTAAATAATAAATACCACCATCATTCCTTCTCTCATTAGCCAGCGTGCAGAGCTGAATCGGTTCAATCGCTTTAATTGTATTCTGGACATTGTGTGTTCGATTCCCGGGATGACCAACTGAAATTACTAGCAATCTTTCGGACGAGACTTTAAAGCAAAGTCCCGTGTATAAGTGCTTAAAAACTTGGAGAGGTAAAAAAGAAGGAGAAGATTGTTTGGTGTACTGCTTGGCTCCTTGACGGTGGTCATCCTGTGTTGCTGGATAGTGTTGTGGTTGCGTTCATTGAACGCCGCCTTCCTTATTGATCTTGTTTTTCATATTTTTCTGAAATTGTGGCATCTTGCTATCTGTATCTTCTGCTGTCCTTCTAAATCTAAAACGACTAATACTCTTCTTGAGGACTCGCCTATACGGGCAACCGATGGCGAGTATTAAGAGACTCAATTACACACACATATTCTCTCAGTTTTCACACACGTCAGAGGTTTCTGAAAAGTTTCAAGTTTCATTCACAATCTTTTATGGAAAACTTTGATTTCAGAGTGTAATGTTCCTTCCAAAACAGAAAGTCAAGAAAGAGTGGGGGATAAATCAGAGAAGGAGAAGGCAATGAAAAATGCCAACAAAAGAGGGGATGTGAAAAACGTCCGGAAAATGGGATAGCATGCCATACGAATACCGTCCAACAGCCGACCAGATATCGCACGTATACTTTACCATCACCGTACGATTGTTGCAAACAGACCAGATAACGGAAGGCAATTGGAAATTTATCGTACGGTAGTTTGCCGGTTACCGACCGGTGTCCAGAAAGAAGATGCCAAGGGTTTTCACCGGTCGACCGGGCGAGTACCCTTCGGAAACCGTCCGAATACCACCGAAGGAGAATGACCACCCACTTCTTCTCGGATATGATTGAAATGTATCTCTCCGATCTCAACTTATCAACGGTGTCCCATCGACCCCTCTATATCGGCCGGTCCCCGCTTGTAATGTGATGTAGGCATAAGTCGAACACGATAACGTTTGCATTAACCAGCCGTACCATAATGATATAATAGGTCGTGCCAATTATTCAATTATCATATTTTACACTTTGATTGCAATACAAAAAATAAGTGGATATGGACAAGTTTGTTTGTTTGTTTTGTTTGTTTGATTTTACGCCTTTGTCAACAGTATTTCAGTCATATAGGCGGGTAGTTTCCTAACCATCGTTCCTGGAGAGTTACACCAGTACTAGACTACCTTCCTCCGCGCTAAACTACCAAAGCATCTCCCGGGGATCGAACCCACGCCAGAGAGGTAACTGGATTAGAAGTCATCGACTCTAACCCCCTCGACCATGGAGGCGGCAACGGATATGGACAAGTAAATCCGAGTAGCATAATGTTAAGATTGTTCAGATTATGAAGAGCTCACTTTATGATAATGGTTTTTCGATTTCAAATCTGCAATTGTGAACATCTTTTAGTATGGTTTACATGCAACTTTTTCTATTTTCTTTTAATAAAACAGTAATATATTTAATGTTTTGCACACTTACCATAAAGCAAACATAAATGTATTTAATTTTAACTGTCATTAAACAGATTGACAGTATTAACAATTATATTCTGTTTGAAACTCGGAATTTCATTCGATACATTGTTAAGATTTACGGCTGTATTGCCTGTACCTTAACCTGTTGAATAAAAATGTGTATAAAACTTAAATGTTCTCAAATAGCATTGTGTAAATGAAAATCATGAGATCTTGAATCTAGTTCTATAAGAATTATCGCACTCCTATTTGTCAATGTTGATGTAAACAGGAAACGAAAGAAAAAGCGAATTCGAGCTTTAATCCGTATGAGGTCAAAACAAGTTCTTTTTTATATTTACAAATAGACCAGTTAGCAATTATCAATATTTCATGTATCAAATTTAAGCATAGTATATCCTCATATTTTGCTAAGCACAATATGTTTGAGTGTGAATATTTTTTTGGATAACACCGCGTTTTTTAATGTTGATTTCCTGTTTTATCAATTCAGTTGACGGGCGAATTTAACCCTATAAATGAGTTTTACACTGACTTTGTGGCATCCTCTCTTTAAGATTTCAGAACATGCAGCGTTTTTTTTTTAAATTTGTTCAAAAAATTGGTTGCTTGTGGCTGTCATTGACAGCTTGACAGCGCATTCTCATGCTCCCTATTAGGTTTATGATCGTTCTAACGGGTATGACTGCCCATTCTTAGACCAACATGGCTCAAATCTCCTGCATGGTTCTAGGTTGCATCTGACGAGCTGAAATTCTTACTAGCAGTTCATTCCACATGTGTTCTATCCCAGATGATGCCTTCCCACACCATAACTGACCCACCTCTGTAGCGGTCATGCTTAGCAATATTTGCAGCCTGAAACCGTTCACCTCGTCTTCTCCAGACTCTAACACGCCTATATGTGGAATCTAGACAGAACCTGGATTCATCAGTGAACAGAACGTATCTCAAGTGTTACATGGTTCACCGTGTATGCTCCATTCCAAACGGGTCTTGCGATGTCGACGCGTCATGGGGATACGTATGCAAGGTCTTCTCGACCGCAACATACCTTCATGCAGCCTTCTACGCACCATCTGCATGGAAACACGGACCCCGGAGCATTAGTAAGGTCTTTTAGAAGAGAAGTTGCTGTCAAAAACCTTGCTTGACGTGTCTGTACGACAAAAAACCTGAGCTTGCGTTGTTACACTTTGCCGACTTCTAGCATGCCTCCTGGCAGGTGAACCATGTAGCCGGTATCTCTCCAAGTCTCTTGTGATGACGGTGTGGTGCACATCAAGCGCCGCACCAAAATGACAAATGGTGCCCCTCATCATCCTCCCCCCCCCTTCTGCATCATCCCTACAGTCCTCCATAACTCTGCTTCTCTTAAATACCGCCTAATGTTAGCATTCGCCATGTCGATGTAACAGATTTAAGAAATGTAAAATATGGTAAACAAGACCAATAAGGAACGCAACCCCCAAACGACCTTACAACAAGGAGGGTCAGTGGCCAGGAGCCCATGAGGGCCCTAAACAAAACCAGAATAGGGCACAAGGTTGAGTACGGGCAGGATAATCATTAAATCATACATGAAAGGAAATAACAATAACCGATAAGGAAATCAATGCAATTGATAGATTAGTATGCCCACACAGTCAAAAGGCACAGGGGAAGGGAACTTGAAGTACGGGGAACGCAAGGGCGAAACCAATAAAAAAAACTAAAGGAAAAAGGGAAGATACTTACCGTAGATGAGAAAACAATAAGGGACACAAACAAAAGTGTCAAACAACAAAGACATTCATCTAAGGAACACAGAGGGGCGCCGCCTTTGAACGGTCACTGAATCACAAATAAGCCGATTAAATCGCCATATGATTGTACAACAGTCATAAACATGAAAATATTGGGGTGCATGCTTTCCACACTACCTTGAAGAGTAATAACGGATTGGTCAACACGGATTCATGTCAGGGGACTATCTCAAAAGTTGAGTAGTATATTTACCTGTTATAAGAGAGATTATTGAAACCTATGTTGCAAATTAAAAAAAAAACATACTCAAAAATATTCGCATTTGCAGATTTGAACTCGAAAAACAATTTTATTTAATAACCTGAGCACTTAATAACCAGAACTCTATAAACATTACACTGCTCTGGTAAACGTATCTATACGAAAGTGTAATATCTTAGTCATAATGGTACGACCAAATAATTATAAAGAATGTCGTTTTCGACTTTTACCCGTGCGAATAGCTGACATGCAACAAAACAGTATTTTCTTTTTAATATTTCATAAATTGATACTTTGATTAAAAGAACGGTTTATATTTGTCAAATATATTTTCGTTTTAATTTATTTCAAGTAACCCGATGCCTTTCGCTGATTTCATTTTTTTTATTTACATTTGAAATTCAAAATTTGATCCTATCAAAGTGTCGTTTTACAAATTTTTAAGTGACATAGAAAGCTGTCGTAAATAATTGATCATGTATTTATTGACTGTTGATATTGTTCAGTGTTGCATGTTTTTTCCCATGTATAATATACAGAACAACCTCTACATAGCGTACCTCTGTAAAGCAATAAGACTACCATAGTAACACCATTGATTAAGATTTTGATGATTTGAAAGTGCCGATACCTTGTTAAGGAATTAATAAAGACAAAAATTTCGTATCAGTTATAATCCTTGATATAGGCACGTTTCAATCACTCCTACTAATGTGACCTGTTATATTTTACATGTATAACTTTGGCCTAATGGATGGATGAATTGATGGATGGATGGGGTTGTTTCTTTTGGTCCTCTTTTGATCATTTCCAATCCCACGATACAATTTTTCGGCCACACATACTAATTTTCTGCCCCAGAATTTCAGTCTGTATCCAATAAAAGAAAACTCATGTCAAGTTGTACACATACACTAACCCACAATGTTTATCCTCTAAGAACGTAAGGTCAGACGAACGGACGGACATGCGGACAAAGGCACATACCAGTATTTGTGGTTTATTGGCTATTTCATTCATCACATAATAGATAAATACAGAATCCCTAAAGAAAGCCCAACACGGCAAAATTGAAAATGTTGCAGGCTCGGTTTGATTGAGCCTGTTCATGGACGGTACTGGAAAGTGCAAGTTACCGTCCACGCCCCCTAGCCCCGGCTTAAGCAGAATTCAACATTTAAACGTGAAACAGCAAAATTTTGAATTTAGAAACATCCGCAGATGTGTTAAACCGACAATTTATCTGATTTCCTTCTTTTTAAGGAAGGTTAAGGACCGAATGACTAGCTCATACACGTTTCTGATGGCAAATTATATGAGAAATATTATCTGGAATAGTTAGAGAAAATATTCTACAAATGGCTTACTTGATCTATGATAAACCGGACCAACAGATTCACTATTACCAGTTGTATAACGAGTATAGATCTCAATACTGTACTCTCTACCAAAGTGTGGATACGTTGATAGAAGAAAATATCGTGAATCCGGTGATACTGCTATTTCGTTGGAAACAGATTCTGACGTCAATTTGTAACTAATGATGTAAGAAGTTATAACGAATGGCGGTTTAATAGGTGGTTTCCATGAGATATTGAAGGCAGTGGTAAGCTCCTCGATATTAACATCTACTGGACTATTGCCTGAAATCATTAGACAACTTGCTATCTTGGACAATTATAAATTCAACATAAGCGTTTGTTTTTTATTCGGCAGAAAAAATTACTTGGCTCTAAATTTACATGTATAATCTATAAACTGTAAGATCTGCCCTTTAAAAAACCAATCTTCTGACAATCCAAATTGGAAATAAAAATTAGCACCAATTAGTCCGAAATAATAACTTCGCAAAAATAGCTTATTTTACAATAATGTATATCTTAACATTTAATAATACCAGAAGCTGAAGCGGTCATAGCAAATCCACCAGGTTTTCTGTCTGTGGGACCTGGTTTAGATACAAACGTCACCGTGGCGTCATTTCCTGGAATTATGATGTTGGAATATTGCGGTGATGCACTGCAATACCGCCTTGTGCTTCCAATGCGGACATAATCAGTGTAACAATTGCTGTCGCCGGATATGTTTAAATTTGTGAATGTCAAGTTCACGGTCTGTGAAGTATAAGTAATAGAGGATATTGATTGAGTGTATGTTCAATACTGAATTTATTGAACGAGTTGAATAAATGGATATTATGCGAGGTTCTTGTGAGCAAACAATTATTTTATTAAGTGTGTTAAATAAATTCACTATCGAACCTATACGAAAAGAATATTCTATCTACCCTTAATAAAAACTGCTTAAAGTTTACAAGAATCGTTTTTCATCGACGCGCATAAAGTGTTAAAATAATTATATGCACGACCGTGCAATACCATTTTAATGGGGTTGCAAAATTGGCACGGATATGTATCACACACCAGTGCCGCTTTTTGCGACTCCGTAATTAAAGTGGTATTGCACGCCCGTTTAAATATTTTGACATGACTTCATTTGTATATACAAAGTGTAAAGCAAACGCAACTTTTCGGTCCTTTTCGTAAGTCTTCGGATAGGGACGTTATTATAGATAATAGTCGATGACGTTCCGACTGAGTGTAAAGATCGATGCGCTAAATGCTGGCGTTACACTATATACGTGTCCATGAAAAATGATTATTTTTCACTTTAAAAAGTCTTTATTTTAGGATATGTAAAAGATAGAATATTATATTCGTGTAGGTTAAATACTGAATTTATTGAACTGGTTGAATAAAATAATACTATATCTCGCCATAAATTCAGTATTGAATTTACACTCATTCAATACCCTCAACTTGGGAAACAGATACATGGGATATAATCATATAACACCGAATGATGCAGCATGTTGGACTTGTTCGCGTGATAAATTAGCTACTTATTGATAATTGTATAGTAACCATATTAGTATAGTAACCATATGACACACCACCATTTATTTGTTAAAAGGATCATGTTTTGAGGGTGTAAGGCACAGACATTTAAGTTGCGAATATCTCGCAACATGCTTTGAAAGTTGATATTCCTTATTGTTTACAAAATAGGAAGGTTTACTAACCCATTTTATGTAGATTTTTTTTTTAAAAAAATACTTTGTGAAAAATATGATGTAGTAAATGGAAAATATTGCACAAAGAATAAAAAATTTAATCACATACTTGTCTAGCTGTTGTTTTTATTATCCATTGACAAACTACATCTTCTTCATAAAACCCGTGCTTGAAAAATGGAGAATGTATTTTATCATACGTCTCATTGTCTAGATAGAGGGTTTGTGTACATGCTGGAAAAATATAATATAAATTCGTAATACATTATGCTAGGATAGTTTACATGGCCTTGAAAAAATAGCTGCTAGCAATATAACGACTCCGGATACATATTTTACAATTGCTTAAAGATATACTTTGCTCATCTGTGAGTAAAATATTTTAATCGAAGAAATTAATTACAACCTATGTAATTCTAACTGAAAACGTCTAATTTGAATAAAAAATGCATACACTATGCATTGAAAGTCACGTTCTCTATTATAGGACAGGTAAAGTTGGTTTTTCCTTAAAAAAACTGCCAGTTTTTTTAACGACGCTATTTACTTATATCCATACTGTGATGACCATTGGAAGCTGTAATAAGCTGTAAGTAATATAAGTATATATGAAGAAAATATTATCTTAGACTAGTGCTAAACAATCGCAACTGTTGATCCCTTTCCGCCACTCTTCTGTTAAAGACTTTGTGGTTATATGGTTATAGGTTAGGTGTTCAAACTGCGAAACTTAATTTCAAGTTGAATAAACATTCATATTGGTAATCCAATTCGCCATAATAACGAGGCATTAGTGTTTGAATACCTGATCTTGTTGTAACAGGGTCAGACTCTGGACCTTTCCCATTGTCAGTTATGGCTGCGATGGTAATGGTGAATCTACGACCTGGGTGGCTTGAGTACGTCGACAGATAGTACGCCAACTTGTTTGGCGAGACTTTAATTTGTTGTATGCGACCATACGGTTCAAGTTTACATGAAAGCAAATACCCCTATGTATGTATAAAAATAAAATATGGAAATTCGATCTTTCGAGCAATACATAAAATGTCAGTTCTTGACAATTTTCAAAGGTTCAGAAACAGTCATCGATTATTTCCTTAGCATTCAATTGGCTTCCTTTTAAATCAATCTTTATTACAAAAATGTATTAAAAATTTACAACACAATTTTGCTTCACTAGATTGGTTCAAAACATTGGACAAATTGCCGACAAAAAAAAATTACTGTTATTTGATTGGCTGAAATTGGCTGGTTCCAGTTTATTCTTAGAGCATTCGGAAATACGGTGACCAGAACATTTGGTTTCCCGGGAGTTCCTGATATGGCTGCTAGATTGAAGAAAAAGAAAATGATTTCAAAATGTTGTAAAATATTATAGTACTATTGTATGATTTAAGTGATGATATATGGAACAATTTATTTATGAAAAGGATTCGACTGTTAAATGTTTAACTAATTTACTTTTTATACGAAATTGATACGAAAGTTATACTATGACGTCATTCACGTACTTGTAAGTGAAGTTGGAACTGACGTTGACATTTCTGGTGTCGTTGCAACTGACGTAGGTATCCATGTACTCGATAAGTACAGCATCCAATCCGGCACAGGAGGCACTCCTTAAAAAATAGTTCAGTTTATATTCATATGTAAACTATTTTTTAGTTTATATAAAAATTTATATCAATTCAACTGCGTTGGAAGCTATAAGCTTATTGAAACACTCTCGACCCAACCAGAACTAAGGAATGATTGCAAAGTTTCTTGATCGAGGAAACAACGGCTGGCTTCTTTCAGGGTTTGTACCCACGCGGTCAGCAATCCTTAGAATACTAGTCCAACGCGTTCAGCACTCGGCAATGCCGCTTCAGTAAACGATTAAGCATTTATTAAAAAAAACAGCTCAAAATGCGTTGCTAATATTATTATTCTTACGCGTTTTTATTGTGACGTCACAAAAATGTCACAGAATCGTTGGGTAACCAAAAGTACGTTAATACTTACTTAATTTTAGTTAATGATAAATAGGTGATTGTACTAATATCTACCCTTTAGTGGCATTGAAAAATATTGTTTACATGTATATTACATATATCATAGTAATATAATTACCAGATTTACAGCCATATAAAGTGTTAATTTTCCAAATATCAAGTTTACTAAATCCCTGCCGTTGACCCATTTCCACGTGAGTGTTATACTTAGGTCTCATTGTTGGCCTGTTTTGACCGTTACTGAATATATATGGCCCATAATGCATGATACTTCCGTAGTCATAGGAAGCACCAAGTGTATCTAAATATGTCGGTCCCTGAATAATGAAATCTTGATCTTTCCCTGTGATGAAAAATAAAAACGGTTAATATTGAAGATAATTTATCATCCGTTAACATGCCTTTAAACACAGGGACAAGACTCTGTGATCTAGGACCACCCCACCCACAGTGTACACCTTCGGTATGGAAGTCCCAAAGTACACCGTCTTGTCCCTGTGCTTTTAAACAGGAAGCATTTCAAGAATTTTTGGGTAAAAAAAAATAAGGAATAATAGAAGACTGCAATTAGTGCAAACGAAAATAACGTGTGCAGTTACATTCATTGCTTAATTTCATTGTATCAAGTCTCGCGTTTTGCTTACTCGTTTAGTACAAACAAATAAATGTTTAAACATTGTACGTTGTTATGTTAATAACACGGTTTAATAATTTTTGAAAAGTCACGATATCTAAATGAGGGATATAAGAACTTTGTAAGGCATGTTCACAATGAGTATTTAGCATTAAGTGACATTGGATGATAAAACAGAAGGATGCAAATGCCGGTACGCCCCTCTCCGGCCGTCTTAAAATCATCTAAGATGTCTACTTTATTTCAAGTATAGCAGAGCCAAGACATGCAGGAAAGTGCTTCCTTAAATACCCCTAGTGTATGCTCACAGACACATCTTGAAGACATGCTGCCTTTCTATTTTATTTTTACTCTAGAAGAACTACAGGTGTATTTCATGTGGAAAGATGTGGCCTTATACCCAAGCACCCTCGCCCCGCCCTTCGCCAAACAAAATTGATAGAGTTGCGGCTGCATTGGTTTCTTAGAATAAAGACACTTTTAATAAATACCAGATTGTATATTATTCCAAAGAACTGTCACATAATTGTCTCTATCCCATCGGTTCTGTTCGTGAAAGAAGCCGACCGCGTGCGTCATCTCGTGTAGAATAACGCCCATATAATAACAATCTGGACCTATAGTCAATGTTTGTTCTCCGCCATCTCTACCAATTGATGAATGGCAGCTGAAAGAAATATTAGCTGAATTAAGAATATTGTCGGCAAAAATGTGTGGTCCTCGACGCCGCTTTGATATTAATACCGTTTAAACATTGTCAAACTATAAAAAAAATGAACTGATAATCTCTATCGACTTTTTAACGAAAACTAACATTATTAATTAACATTTTTCAATATTAGGCACGTTTTCACTTCAAATGTTAGGCTAATATGAAGCTCAGCGCGGCATTATGAACATATAACAAGGCCATTATGCAAAAAGTACGGCCTTTACGAGAAAACCCGGCTATGAGATTTGAGAATTTTGCTTTGCTCCCCAGCTCGGCCATAATGAACCTGCCTTTTTTCATTGAAAAAAGTCGCCATTTTGAATTGCTTCAAGGTAGGTTTCCGGGCATTTTAAACCGGTAGGAAGTTAGCAGTAGCAGTGAGCAGTAGCAGTAGCAGTAGCAGATTTATAAAACGTGAAGTTGGCAGTAGCAGTAGGACAGCAGTAGCAGTAGCAAAATTATAAAACGTGAAATTGGCAGTAGCAGTAGCTCAGCAGTAGCAGTAGCAAAATTATAAAACGTGAAGTTGGCAGTAGCAGTAGCAAAATTATAAAACATAAACTGGCAGTAGTTGCACAGCAGTAGCAAAATTATAAAACGTGAAATTGGCAGTAGCAGTAGCTCAGCAGTAGCAGTAGCAAAATTATAAAACGTGAAGTTGGCAGTAGCAGTAGCTCAGCAGTAGCAGTAGCAAAATTATAAAACGTGAAGTTGGCAGTAGCAGTAGCTCAGCAGTAGCAGTAGCAAATTTATAAAAAGTGAAGTTGGCAGTAGCAGTAGCTCAGCAGTAGCAGTAGCAAATTTATATAACGTGAAGTTGGCAGTAGCAGTAGCTCAGCAGTAGCTGTAGCAAATTTATAAAACGTGAAGTTGGCAGTAGCAGTAGCTCGGCAGTAGCAGTAGCAAATTTATAAAAACGTGAAGATGGCAGTAGCAGTAGCTCAGCAAAATTAAAATAGCAGTAGCAATAGCAAAATTATAAAACGTGAAGTTTTGCAGTAGCAGTAGCTGGCAGTAGCAGTAGCTCAGCAGTAGCAGTAACAAATTTATAAAGCATGAAATTGGCAGTAGCAGTATCAGTAGCAAAATTATAAAACGTGAATTTAGCAGTAGCAGTAGCACAGCAGTAGCAGTAATATTGTAGCAGTAGAACAGCAACGCATTTTCGCGATTTTACTACTACGTTTAAGACGGGAAAAGGCCGCAAAAAATAGCTCAATATTTTGCCCTGTTTACATCCGATATATACCACAGGATGAACCGCAAGCAAGTGGGATTTTTCGTTTTGCATTTCGATTTCGCGTTATTTTATCGTGTTACAATCGCAATTCAGACGACAATGAAAAACCAAGCTGACCGTAATTTAACACTTCATTCAGATGAACAGTCACTTCACTTCGGTTTTACCTACGAAAACCGAATTATTTCATTTTGTTCGATATATACCCGAAAATCAAAAATAGTCGTTAAATAGAGTTAAAAGTTTTTTTACGGTCGTATGCAACAACTCGAATTCTGCATGGAATGGAATTATTTGTAAATGAAGGGGATCATCCTTTTTACTATGGAATTTCATACATGACAGTGTCCTGTTTAATGCATACTTGGTCCTGTTTACTGCGAGCTGCCTCCTGTTTAATTGCATAATTCTCAGCAGGAACTTAATTGACATTACGTCAGAGAAGGGATCGCTCCGCCCACTGGTTCAGGCGACCCGGTCAGTAAGAACCTTAGACAAAGTACGGTATCGATGAATTGGCAAAACTGTAATGTCACTAATGTTACAAATGAATTAACCTTATATAAATTTTCTATATATAAAAGTTTGATGCTTTAATGGTTTTATTGAATAGTAGATCTATTTCTCAATGTATAAATGCATTATGGTATTTCAAAAAAAAAAAGCGTAGGAAAAACAATATCTGCATTCCGTATTAATGATGCATGAAACGTTTTATTAAAGATCGTGTTATTTCTTGTTGATTTCAATGAAAATTTAAAACTGACAAAATATCATTATATCTTACAAATTCAAAGAGAGACTATATGTAGAAAGTATATGATTATGTTAAGAGTTTTATTTCGAAATTGAAAAAGCGAAGCAAAAACAGTAAAGTTATATAAGTGACACAAATAAATTTAAAAAATCATTTTTCGAGTTTTATGTGCGAAATTCTGTTGAGATAATACATTAATTTATTCAAGAATTTATAAAATTGATTCAGAAAATTGCATGCCCTTGTTAACTTTTTATATGTGATTATGTATTGATAACATACAAAGTTTTTATTATTTACGACATAACACAACGTTATTCTCTTTAAAATATGCTTCACATACATCAGACATGATGTTATTGGTATTTGTTTCGTATAAGCAGATCTATTTGAATATTTTATATTAATTTAATGAACTTTAATAGAAATACTCAGGTTAGATATTTTCACCAAAGTTGTTCCCTGCGGGCCGGAGCCCGCAGGGTATTGGTACGCGTTTTATTTTTGAGGCATGGAGGAGCACGTGACCTGTTTTCGGTACATGGAGGAGCATGTGATCTGTAAACCGTACATGATTGGTTAATTGACCTATTCGAAAACCTAGCTAAATACCGTTTCCCGGTACGTTACGGATTAACCTCTAGGGCACACCGGTCTCTCAAATGACCGGTGTACACAATGCTAGGGAATTAGTCCGAATTACACCTAATTAAGAACATAAAACTATTACGTGATATTTCTAATTTTCTATTATTATTTTACCGTTTAAGGTGGAAAAACTTGCATGATGTGTTTGAAAATTATCAATGTTTCTTTAATATCTATCTGAAATTTTACAAACAATAAACTGTTTATAGTGAAAATCCACAGAATTAAAATATTCGTTTGTGGCATCTGCCATAATAGATAGAGATATTTTCTGCGTAAACTTGTGTGTTAACTTTCTTTTATTTATTTTTTTGCACGGAATTATTCATACAATGGTATTTGATCATTTTCTTAAACAGAAATATTTATTTTTTATTTTCGACCAAGACCAAAGACCTTCTTCTATTGATCGATTATTGTCAACTATATTCCTGATACAAACGTTATTTTTTTCTATTTTTTCCCCAAACAATATTGAAAATAGTTAAATGAAATATCTTTAAATCACTATAAATGTTCCCCGCAGGAAACCATTTTACTTGTAAATCTCTTGAAAGTATCAGAATTGTTCCAGATATGCAGCTCGTGTGTTTCTCATATGTGGGTATTACGCACGCTCATCTCTGACTTTAATTGCAAAAATCTTTTTTTAACAAACTTAATCATAATTGTATGGAGCCCCTAAAGTGACATTTTCCACACTTTTTCCCGGGACTTAATACATTTAAACGAAATATTAATTCGTAATAGCGAAATATCAATTCATGTTTACGAAATATCAATTCGTAATTACGAAATATTAATTCGTTTTCACAAAATATTTATTCGTTTTAACGAAATAATAATTCGTGTTTATTAAATACTAATTCGTTATCGAAATAATAATTCGTTTTTACGAAATATTTATTCGTAACTACCAAATAATAATCCGTCTTTTACGAAATATTTCGTTTTTTTTTTAAATGTTAATTCGTTTTTACGAAATCATAATTCGTTTTAATGAAATCCTATTCCATTTTTGAGTAACCATGAACAGTCACAATACCATCATTCAGTAATGAGGACAGCAAGCAAAATAATATACCTGACTAATTGGTTATTAAATTATTTCTCAACCAGGCAAATAGTGCTTTATATTTCTTTTGTAATGGAACTTTAATGAGAATCATCGTAACAAAACCATCATAACAACAATCGTAACAATATAAACAAAAATATATGGTGCTTAAATAGTTTTTATTTCAACAGTTCAAAAATGTGAAATGGCGTCTGTTGTGCACTTCAATTTAATAAACAATTGTGATTTTCCCATTAGACGTATTATGTTTCTAATATACATGTAAGAATGTAAAACTCATTGTCATTTACTGTACATTATTACAATGTATATTAAATGTTGAAAAGATCTTCCCGTCCCGAAAAGGCTATTTCGGCAGGCAGTTGATATTATAAAATATTAATAGTTTAATAAATGTATGTGTAAACTATTTACCAATATTGCAACAATACGGAGCCCCTAAGGTGACATTTCCCACACTTTTTTCCCCAGACTTAATTCGATGTTACGAAATATTTATTCGTTTTTACGAAATATTAATTCGTAATAACGAAATATTAACTCGTTTTTACGAAATATTATTTCGTTATTACGAAATATTAATTTGTGAAAATGAAATATTATTTCGTAATTACGAACTAATATTTCGTAAAAACGATTTAATATTTCGTTATCACGAATGTTTCGTAATAACGAATTAATATCTCGTAATTACGAATTAATGTTTCGTTTTTATGAATTAATATTTATTTTTTTACGAAATGCATCATGTGATTAAACGGACTCACAAAAGGCACAAATGCATCTTTCTTGTCGGCTCAATAATTTAAAACCTTTGAAATTTACTATCTTTATAATATAAATTAGTGTTTTTTTATCATGGCATGGTGCCAATAAATAAATTTTAGCGAAATATATGTCTTTAAGATTAATTACTTATAGTGTATATGATATATAGTCGTTAGCTTTTTTAAGAAACATGTCAGAAAAGACTAATTGTCTAAGAAATTTAACATTTTTATTTTGCCAGCTGTTGGGAATATGTCCCTTTGTCATAGTCAGGCATTTGAGAAGCACATGCACGAAGCGATGCGCGAGAGACAAGAAAAGCGACATTCCGGCAAAACATGAAGCGAGCCGTGAAATTTCGTGGTACGGGATACTTCGACATGGCGAGATCTCGTGTTACAGTATCGTGCCTCGCTTCTGGTCTCGTCGGAATGTCGCGTCTCGCCCGATTCTGCGCGGTCAGA